GGAAATGAATCGCAAGCATGAGACTCCACACCTTTCCATCCTAGAATGACCTGGGCACCCTTTTATGATGCTCTACAGCAACAGCGAGTCTTTTCCAGGAGATGACTGGCGCACCTCCATATGCTGAACCATTCCAGATCCAAGAACGAGGTCGGAAGCACAACAACGAAATTGTTTCACGCACCCTTCATGCTTTATAACATGTGGTGCGGCGGTGTTGGAATGGTGTCTCCACTACACAATGATCACCCGCTACGAAATGATCAAAAGCATTTCATAGAGGGGCTGGCGTGGCCATCTCATAGAGGATTATTTGAGGGCGGGTCCTTTGTCAGACTGCACCATCCCTGGCTGGATTATACAAACCTGTTCAAACAAGACTGTGTGGAGTAAAAAAAAGTTTCGGAAACTGGTCTGCTTACACTCTGCCACCTGAAGCCGCATCGTTGCCAACGCGGGGGCAGAAGAACAAGGTACAAGCCTCATCCGCAGAGAGCAGTAGCATCGACCGGCGATAGCTGTCAAATTCAAGCTCAAATCCGCCATAATCCGCCGACCCCGCCCCGGGCGTCAAGCTCGTTTCTTTTGTCGCCACCGCCTTTGGAATTGCTTCAATGTCTTCATTATTTGCCCCGGCCCTTCGGCCTCCTCCCCCTACTAGCAGAAACTTGAAAAAGTCGTTTTCGTGGTTGCTTTTTTTCGCTTTATCTTGTGCGTGCCAAGCTGGGGGGGGGATCTTTGGATGTTTCCCCTGCTATGTCGTTTGGCCCTTCCCCGGCTTTGCCGGGCCCTTCTACCCCCCAATCCCGGCCTTCATTACTAACAAAACCTTTTCCTGGCCTTTCCCCCGGCCTCAACTCCAGCTCCCTCGCACCCCTCCACCCCAGTCGCCTTCAAAATAACGTCACAAGCACAGAAGTTTTGAAAGCTGGCCCCGAGGCCTTTTCCAGGTTTAAGAGGCTGCTGGAAGGTCGGAGAAACGGAATCCCAATGCTGATGATGCTCAGCATCATGGGGGGCTTGTTTTCGGTTAGGGGTACCAGGGTGGGGGTGCCCGCCACCCCTCATTGCACTCACCGTTGAGCGTTCCACAACTCTCTTTTCGCATTGCCTGCGTTGCCCGCCCCTCGGCGCAGCCCCTGAAATCCAGCTGTGCCACCGTGGTCCAGGGCGGAGCCCGCGTCTTGAGTTTTTGCTCGTTTTTGGTCCTGGCGGCGGGGGCCGGCTGCAGCACTCCTAGCCAACATCACGAAACAATCCCGCTGAAAACCGTCATCCAAACCTTCCTGAAAAATCCCATCAACAGGTTTCATAAATCACAACCATCATGCAAAATCCATACCGTGTCTATAGCTGTAGCTCTACATCATCGGACCTCCGTTTCTCCCACGGCCCTCCCAGACCCCACTCCAAAACCAAGCAGAAAGCTTGCCGACGGATTTTTGAAGGGCTTTAGGGTCTGCCAGGATCACCCAAATCAGCATCATGAGCATAGACCGTTGTGAAAACCTGCCCCTAGGCCCATCTTGGGGTAGGAACTAACGAGGGGCCATTGGGTACGGGTGGCCAAAAAAAAGACAAACGTACCCCGAAAGATGCTGATGATGCTGGTGTCTGTGCCTGCTGGGCCAGGCATTATGGGGTTTTTGAAGGTCGGCCTGCTGACCTCTGAGAGACTAGCATGCTTCTTTGCTTTTATCATGATGGGTTAAGCTGGAGTTGAGGCCTAGCGGCAGGGGCCAAACCTGCCGCCTTCTTAGCCAACAGCAAGAGACAGCAATGGCAAGGTAACAGGCGCGGTAATTAACTTGGCAAGAAGTACATGATAGTAAAGTACAACTTGGTAGAAGGAATGGTCGGAATAGTAGTCGCGAATGACAGTGTCGTATCATAGGGCCCGGGCAGGTGCGAAACAGACCCCTGGCAATTCTGATGGTGGTAATGATGCTGCATCGATTGCGGCCGTTTGGCCCTCCTGTGCCCCTTGGCCTGTCCTTCGGTCCGTTCCAAGACGCAAGTTTTCAAAAAGGTCCGTGCTCATGATGCCGATTTGGGGGATCCTGGGCCCAAAGATCTCTCAAATCCCTCCGTAGCATTGCGAATTGCTTCAAAAGCCGACATGAATTTCGGCTCGGTTTGGGAGTGGCCAGGAACGGCGCCAGCCCCTGAGCCTAAGCGCTAAAGACTCTAAAATCGGCCTGGACCATGGCGGCAGGGCCGGACTTTACCTCTTCCGCGGATGGCCCCTCCCTGGCGAGCATCATCAGACCTTTTCTCCCGGGGCGCCCCCCACTCCAAGACCAAGCCAACATTCACAGGCGCTTTTGAAGCAAATCCACCCGCTTGTAAGGATTTTTGAGGGCTCCCTGGGTCCCTCATTTGGGCCGAATGGCAGTTTAGCAGTTTGTCCTACTTTACGGTCATTCACCACTACCATTCCGACCACTCCTACTTCTACTGTAAGGTACTTCCTGTCCTGTTACTTGCTGTCGCTGCTTTTTGCTGTTAGCTACGAAGGCGGCAGGGCCGGCCCCCCCCCCCCTAGCCCGAAACACACAGCACTTGCACTTGCTAGAATTGTCTATGATTGTCGGCTGCTCGCAGCAGCGGATCCTACCAAGTGCAAGGTAAAAGCAGAGGCACCAGTGCTCGGGGTCCGGGCCGATGAGGCTGGATCTTCATTCTCCGTCGCTCCCTGAACTCGGCAACATGCTCTACATGCGTCGACATCAAGTCAGGTCAACTGCTTTCAGATCTGTGAGCCAGGCCCGGCAGCATCACCGAAGACACTCACCTCGACTGCAGCCAACTGCAGCAACAGATGTGAAGTTGCCCAAGAAAGCTGATACACGCCAGAGATAAGACACCACCTTGGCTTCCAGCTGTGACGCGGCCAAACTCGTCAGGTGTGTCGCTCATGATCTGGTCAGTCCCAAGCACGCTGATGCACACCCCACTTGCTACTAACTCTGTTATGAACGTACACTTGCAGCAAGCAAGCTTCATGCAAAGGCTGCGCTTTACATTAAGCTTGACGGGGGCTCCGGCTTTCGGCACGGGATCTGCTCTGCTTGGAACTGCTGCAGCTGAAAGCCGCAATAATTTCAAAATACTAGTCTGACCATGAACTTCGCCTCACCGCGAGAACCGTTGAGCTCCGGCCGCCTCCGAATGCCAGAGATTGTGACCTCAAAAAATGCAGGGATGCGCTCTCACTTCAGCAGCTTGCAGTCAGCACCGTCGTGTAAGACTACTACAACTACAAAGAGGATAGAACCTCACTCTACATTGGGGATTCTAGTACCCCCATTCAACATACTAGTCAGTGCATTTTGTGCATACAGGTAGCTCTCTGCCGTGTAACGGGGAACATCGATTGACGCAGATTGGCCTGGGTCTCTGTGCTGAGAGCTTGGCAACATCTCCAGGAACTGGGACTCGGTAGAATGGCCCGCCCTCCTGCGTCCAGCTGCCAGATCTGGCCGGATTTACGGCACAAGTTGTTCAACTACAGGGCAGGGGACACCCTCCTCCGGCGGGTTCAGCGGCATCTGCAAACTCCTTAAGCACCAACAGCGCGAACATCACGTCTCTGGTGGGTAGCCAAGCAATGCCCAAAAGCCGAGACGCTTCAAAAGCTTTTCCGGCGACTGCCATGACAAGAACTCCTGCAGAGCTTAGTGATGTACTCCACGAGATCCCGATGCAAACATTAGTCATCATTGGACTTCAAATATCTCCTTCTCACACAGAGATCTCCAGATCTGATCATTCTTTGACGGATCCGTCGCCTTGGCGCTCACAAAAGCTCACTCTCGCCGAGAAAATCTCTAAGAAAATTTCATGCAGGTCTTGGCAAGTGTCAAGCTCAAACCGTCCTTCAACATTACCAAGGAAAACGGCCCTGACAAGTGGTCATTGTCTTTGCATTCCTTGCAATGCTGCATGAAATTAACAACAGGTTGCAAGTAGGAATAATGCCAACCCTGACAGGTGAATGGAATCACATGGTTCACTCTGTTGCATGCTCGACTCGAGGACAGGGCCATGTCTCTGTTGGCGATGAAGCATACCCTACAAGGCCCTACAACCTACAAACCTTGAGCTTGTGACGCGGCAGTGTGCCAATCCATCATTGTAGCATGCAGTAGCCGTGTGAAACTACTGGGCCTTGGAAGTAACAACATATAACAACTAAGGACCCAACGCCTAAGAACGTGATAATGCCGCATTGCTGCATGATGCACCGCTGCCCTCTGCAGCCTGCTGGAAGCCCCGGTCAATGAACTTCTATGAAGTTGCTACACTGTATCCAGTAACCTATCACTACCTCAACTCTCAGAATGGGATAAGTACTGCACTTGAGCTTTGGTTTCTATTCCTACATGATTCCTTCCACTACAGGAACTACCCCTTCCGCGAAGCCCTTCCGCGATCCTTCCGCGAGTAGCGCTTGTAGTCTTTTTTGCTTCCGCCTTCCGCAGCTGCTTCCGCGAAGGTTTTTCGGCTGAATTTCGGGATCTGCTTCCGCGAAAAGGCTTTGAAGACTACGCATAGCCGGAGTTTCTGAAAATGTCGGCTTCCGCAAGCCCTTCCGCGAAGNNCGGAGCTTCCGCGTCCTTCCGCGCACACAGGAAAACCTCGTTTTCGGACCAAGATTTGATGAGTTTCTGTGTTGCGCACCTTCAATTGATATACCGCGAAAAACAAACCGCTGCTCACTTGTTGGGCTGTTGATGGCTGTTGGTTGCGCTACACAGCACAAGCGACGTGGACTCAGCGGCCCTGTAGGTTTTCCAAGCAAGGTCTCTGTACATGTGCGCGGACCACTATATCTGTACAGCAGCAAACTTCGCACCTTCTAAACTGGCACGCAAGATGCCTGCAATCGGATGTTGGGAAATCTTCGAAAACTCACATCCACGGCAGTTTCCGGCACCGCCACCACCCGGCAGGTGGTCGAGTGGAATACAGCTCCTGTAGCACATCCAGCTGGTCACTCACTTTTTTTTTGGCACCCAGCCTCAGCTTCGACAACCAAGCGTTACTGCGCTGCTGTATGCGGCATGCATGGCAGACTGTGCCTTCGAGTAAAGCACAGCCAACATGTGATGCACACGTTGGTGATGGCAGCCGTGTGTTTGCAGCTGCAGCCAGGATGCGAAGTCGCTTCCCCTTCCAGTCTTGGCTGTTGACTTTGTAGCCTTGTTGACAGCAACATTGACCCCTGGCCCTGGCCGGCCTAGCCATCCTGCAGAGCTTCGCAGAAGCTTGCCTCCGGCTTCGTTTGGAGGCTGCGTCTTCTGCAACTTCGTGGGTTCTGGACCTGCAAGGCGCGTTCAGCCCAGCAGCCGGGCACTTATCTCATTAGGCAAAGGCCTCCTTGGAGTTCGGTCAGTTCAGGTCCTGGGAAGTCTCCCAAAATCTCCTGGCTGACCTGGCGCACAGAAAGAGCTTGCAATGACTGAGGCTGGTAAGAGAAGCGCCTTCTTCAGCTGCTCATACTGGGAGAGCGGTTCATCGTAAGACGCAAAACACGGGTCGAAGAGCGGGCAGACCTCCTGAAAAGCTTAAGTTCTCTCCGGCACATATCAAACTGAATCCATTCAACAATGTGAAGATGCCAACAGCTTTCATGCTCGACGTTTAGCTCTTCGCTTACCTTGAAGGTGAGCGCGTCGTCCGCGGAGATCAACTGCCTCTCCATTAGGAGATCCACGAATCTCTCCTCAGCGAAGTCAGGATGGCATGGTCTGCGTGCGAATGCAGAACCAACTATTGTCCTGCACCTCCTCAATTCAAGCCAGGCTTAACCCGAAGCTAAATAACCAAATGCAACCCACCCTCACGGCACATTGCTCAGCAGAACCGGCTGCGGAGCCAGCTAGATGAGTTCAGCAGTCCCGAATGAATGTCTTCCAAGCCGAGCTTCAAAGTGTTGGCGTAAGCTAGACATGGCTGTCTCTTCCAACCGCCCTCCAGCATCCTTGTTTTCCAAAGCAGGCATGCAACTGCCGACGGCCCGAAGCTACAATTAGATCCTTAGTCAAGCGTCTTTTGCTTCTTGCAGCACGCGAAGGATTTCAGCATGGCAACTGTGAGACCTTCGACTAGAGAGGGGACCCAGCAGATAGCGTGTTTGGGGAAGTGGCAGCTGCTTTGCGCTCTTGTGGTGTGGCAGTCGCACTAATTATTCTGTTAAGTACTTGCAGCTTTCTTAAGTTCGTTTGTTTGCCTGGACCTTGCCGGCGCAATCAGTTAGGGTATGTTGGGGTCTCCGCTTAGCTACGACGACACATTTTCGTTTTTCAGGCAAGCTACTCTGGCAAGAAGTTGAAGCGAGCCAGCAGAATGCACTGCCCCATCATGTAGCGGCCGAAAGCGGCAAAGAGCAATTTAGAGGCATCCTGGTCAGCTTACGATGATTCATCATCAGATCAGCGTTAACTACAACTGCAACATTTGTTCATCTTGATGAATAACGCTCTGCCGAGGGAAACCTGTACATCTGCGGGTGCAAGCAAGACACTGACTCCAACTGAACCGAATTCAGGAATACAGGCGCCAGCCGCGATCGAAAGACGTGCTCGAAGGACGCCCAAACAAGCGAACTTCCATCCACTGTCTCATTTGCATTGATTTGCTGCGCGAACTCCGCAATCGTTCTCAGCTTGTGTCACGGCAGATAGAACAAAGAAGCAACACAGCCCTAATTCAAGCAAAAACCAAAACCTCATAGAAATACTTGCTGCATCTTGCTGCTACTATGAGTCTGAAGGCCGGAGGCTCCAGGTCCTAGCTGCTGCTGGCCAATGATCTGACGGATTGGAGCAGCCAGTCGCCACCAGCGGTTCATCTCCTCCGCCTTCTCAGCCATGCACGCGTAGTTCTGCGAGGTCCAACGGAAATCCTCCACGAAGAATGGCATGTACTTCTCTTTGAACTCTTTCAATGCAGCTGGCACTTCAGAAGGAAGGGAACCTGAATGATTCGACAGAAGCTCCATGTATTTTGTATCGTCCCCCAGCAGACAATATGCAACGTTTGCTTCCAGAAGCGTTCGAAAAACGGAGAGAAGGTGCTGAGGCTGGGCTGGCTCTTTGAAGGGATCGAGCCCACAGTCGCGGAATAAAGGCCAGATCCGTCGCTTGGTCCAATCGTACTCTAGGCCACCACGTCTAAGAGCTTCCACGAACAGCATATCAGCAAAAACGAGCGTGACCGCTTCGCTGAGCATCCGATAAATAATGTAAAGCCGCCTGTAGAGTCTGCTGTGCTCTGTGAAGATGAGGTCTGGCAGCAAAAAATGGGTCAAATCATGTGCCTGGAACACGAGTCTTATTAGTGCGCGGACTGTCAGGAGGCGATATTACAGGTAGACATTAAAGTGCTAGTCCGGCTGTTTCCGCAAATCGAGGCAGTGATGCGAGTACTCTCAGGACCCACAAAGGGGATGCCGAGATTTATCTCCAAACTTCCATTGAAGCATGCATGCAATAACTTTGTTATGCCTGGCCTGAAATGTCACCTCGTGGATAGCATCGTCCTGACTGGGCTTTGTGCATTTCGGATGCGTACGTGCAAGTCTGATACAAAGACCCAAAAGAAGTGATTGGGCCTTGGGCACAAGCGGTACGCCAGCGTTCAATCCTGGTAGCCAGTAGATGAACTCCCGCCGCGTAATTGCGGCCCGGAGAAAAAGCCCGCTGTTCAGCACGCTCCTAAAGACATTGCAAAGGCCATGCTTTTCTGGGATGTCTGAAAAAAGGTGTTCGTTCTTCAGGAAGAATTTGCTTACCAGAGATCCATCACCAAATTCAACAGCCCGTGAGGCTTCCAGCGGATTGTGACGACAGACACGCCTCGTGCGGTAGTGCACATGGTCTCGCAGATATTGGGAAAGCATCATGTCTCTGGGAGAGACTTTGAAACCCATTTGCTTCTTCTCGTGGTAAGATAGCCCGCTGTAAGGATCGACGACAACATCATCCCAGTTGAAGACGCCCGGCCGCTTTGCGTCCCGCTTTGAGAGGTCTATCCTTGCATCCATCTCATAGCTGTAAACGTCCTCTTCCACCTGCGCCCATCCAGAATCGTTGCAATCTTGTTACTCTCAAATAAGCACAAGATGGAAAAAGAGCTGGAAAATTACAACTTTGAGCCTCAGGAACATAGACTTTGCTCTCTTGGTCCTTCTTGGCAGTCTTTTGACACCACACCGTGAGCGAGGCGCTCACAGTCACACGTTCACCTGACAAAACTCCAAATTAAGCTGCCCGCTGCCAAAGCTGCCGGATGCCTTCAAAGCGTGATAGATCAGCCAGGACACCATCTACAAGGTCTCTTCCAGGAGCATCGGCGTGCTCATGAGATCCGTGGCATAGCAAGAGGACACGCTCATACATGACAGATTTAGTCCAGTACTCGTCTGTGCTTTGGCCCAGCAGCTTTTCGGCCAAAGGGAGAAGTGCTTTGGGACCAAGCTTCTTGGTTCGATACCCATATGGGTTGGCATGACGCACCTCGATCCCGTAGTGCTGCAACAGCCTGGGTTGCTGAGGAACATAATACATGAAGTGAACAGTAGACAGTAAATAATGGGGTGTCCTCATAATGGTCACTGAGTTGACGTTCCTTAACGGCTACCCAGCAGCTTCTGGAATTCCGGCACCCTTTCCGGATTGGACGTCACAACATAAACACGCCGGACCTTGACCATTGCCAGGCCGCTGCAAGACCGAAACCTTCAACCCACCGTGCATTTGGAGCACCCTCAGATTCGGGTCTTGAATTTCAAGCCTGCAGGAAGTTCAGCTTGCGACGGACTACGGTAACAAAATGCTTATTGGTGGTCCCCTACTTTGAGGCAGGAGGCGTCAGCACATCAAATGACATTCATTGCAGAAGCTTGGTCCATACCAGTGAACTCCAGCAACAATCCAAGAAATTTCCTGAATCCGGAACATACCATCTAGGTGGCAACGTCGCCATGAATGGGTATTTATGAGTTGGAAGGTAAAGTTGACTGCATAACAATTTGGGTTTGGGGTCGCGAATCTCTTGCCGCAATCTTTCTAGCAGCGTCGTCTGTCCAAGCAGCCATGGACTTTGAGCAAGGGTTAGGCATTTTCAGTTTCAAGCGCAGTGACCCGGGCCTACCTACTCTCACGCATTGCCATGCAGCTACGCGCAGGCTTGCGCAAGTATACTGTGTGTGACACACAGCGTGAAATCAGGTCAATCCATCTCAGTCAGAAAAGCTCTTCTGAAATGCTACTACAGGGGCAGTAGGTAAATACGTAAGAATGATAACTCACAAGTTGAGGCTTTGACTGGCTGAGTTTGCATTATCAAGAGTGAGACCCTCCTCAGATGCGCAGCTTGCCTCAGGACATGTCAGTCGCTGTCCCATTTCTGAGATCTTGTCTCACATTCTATCTTGAAGAAATTCGATTCTCGCCTGTGGCCGATGCTGCGTTTGTTATACAAGAACCTTTTTGGACCATAAGGCCGAGGTCTTCTTCCCATGCCCAAACCGTTCTTGGCTGGCATTACAAAACAGCCCAGTTCGCCCATATTTTGCTGACAAGTGCTACAGATTCTGTAACTGCGCGAGGCTGCAACAGAGCATCTGGACAGTTCAGGAGGCGCATCTTGGCAAATGACTTTCTAACCCTGGGGCAAGGGCGCGGTGGAGGAGCTTGTGGAGCGCAAACCCTGCAGAAGTCAACCAAGAAAGATTGCAAATTCAAATGCTGCTGGCTACTTCGGGGCTTTTTGCACTCAACTTTGGCTAAGTCGGGGGCATGTTGATGTGATTGGCCGGATTGAAAATCCGATCCTGGTGTCAACACACAGCGTGTCTGCAAGTCAGGAGGCAATGCAACACAACCACAAATGCACGGCACAGCATGACACAGTGTGTGTCCTCAACCAGGTCAGCAGCAATCCTTGGATGCAGGGCTTGTTTTGAAGCTTGCATGCAGCAGGTTGCAGAATTTATCTTAAGACTGGCTGAGGCATGAAAGCATGCATGGCCACGCGTGCACTTGCGAAGCTTGGCTGCCATGAGTGGCTGAAGAAGCAACGCAGCATAGTGTACACGAATGCACAAGGTTCCAACAAGACACAAGGCGAAAGCACTCACCGCAGCAAAAACTGAATATGCTGCAGCTGCCTGGTTCCCTTTTTGGATTGAGTGCTTAGTGGCTTAGCGACGGTGTGATTGCGTGTCTTCGTTTCACCTGTGAAGCTCTGAGCCAAAATGAGCCGAGAGTCAGGTTGGCAGCCTTCGCCGTGGCCCCGAAGATGGCGTCGCCCTCAAGCCGGGGTACGTGGCCTCAACGCACTTTTCATCACTTTCCCATACTTTCTCCGATTTGTGGGCTGCTGATGGCTGCCGAATGCTGGGCTGGGCGTGCAGGCTTAAAGTTAGAATGCAGGGGTATGGTGAGGGTATGGTTCGAGAGATGCTGCTGCCGCTATGCCTTTTCAAATAGCCTTACGCGGCACAGGAAACAATGGGCGATCATAGAGGGGAAGCGTGCTGAAACGCTGTTGGGTGGGGCTAAGGCATGGGATCCATGTACTCGATTTGTCTCCCTGAGTCGTTACAGATTGGGCCGTGACATCAACACATCTCAAGACAGCATGGCTGGCTCGCGAGCTCTGCAGATGCTTGATCGTCAAGGTCCGAACCTTTGTAGCCAGGAATCTGCTTGCCTGAGCAAGCCGTTCTTCGTTTCATTCCACCCTTTCGGAACAGCGAGCTGAACATCGCAGCTTAGAAATTCTCACACGGAGACATGTATGCCCAGAATTGGTAGCCATGCCATATTGCGGCAGAGTCACTACAATGTTCACGGAGCCGTGCAGCATGCGCGGCCTTGTATTCGGGCCTCATGACGGCGCAAACCACAAGCAAATCGACGTTCTCTTCACGATTTGTGCTGAGCTCACTGCCTATCTGCCTGGTTCTCACTGTGGAAATAATTGAGGATTCGCTCTCGTGGAAGGTCATCCTCCTGCGTCACTGCCTGGGTCAATTGTTGAGTATCAGCCATGGTCATGCCAGAAACCGTCCCACACCGCCATCAATCCGGCGCGGCACTATGTCCCTAAGCAAGATACAATTGAGGTTATGGCACATGTTCTCACATTCAACTGTGCCTTTGCATGCATGAACCGGATTTAACTTACTCGCGGGTAACTAGCGAGCTGCTCACGGCGTCAGCAAAGCTACTCGCATCAAAGCGTGGTGATTTGAACCATGTTTTAGGATAGGCAGGGGAGTAGTTCAGACACAGCGCTGGCAGCTGTTCGGGCTGCGGAGCACGCTCAGCAATGACACGCCCAGCCTTAGCGCTCAACTTCTCAAACTGCTCAGGAAAACTTCTTGCGATTCCCAGGCTCATTGGGCTCTATCGCACGAAGCGCTCTTTGTGCCACACGTTACGCTAACGGTTGGCTCTGTGAATCTCTGGATAGTAAAGCTGAGTAAACGCATGTCGCGCTTCAAAACTGGTTGAATGCTACTACCAACTCGGATACCGCCTCATGTGTCGAAGTTATACGACTGACAACTTACAACGCTCACAGCCTCACAGCAGTCCCTTCGCCACTACCACCATCATCACCACCATCATGAGCATGACAATTGTCACAGGGCGGTGCGAGCCTGTGAGCCAACAGCGAAACACAACACAATCACAGCAACCCGCAAGCTCCAGAACCGCTTCAACCATGTTGCTGCGGCTGCGACTTGCTCCTGAGATCTTGGCCATCTTGCAGGTGTGGATGATGCCACCGCCGTGTATGTTTTCTGCGTGCTTTCCTGGCCTGAGATGCGCAGGCGAGCTGGCTGAAGGCTTGCTAAGTGAAAAACTGCTAAGACGTGATGCCATCGACCTTACGCTCCCCCAGGATGGCACAAGGTGCACGGGTGCACTGAGTGCTGAACATAAAGCCGCTGTAACCGGGTATTGTCGGCACCTGGGTAGTCAGCATCGGGCTTACGAAGCATCCTAGGACCAGACACATTCGAGGCAAGTGCCCAGTAGGCTCGCACAACATCCGCTCTGCTCTTGCCCAGAGGATGTGGGTCAGGTGCCTTGGCAGGACCATTTTGCAAGACTGGCCAGGTTGATGCTACAGTGCCAACATGGACACGTCAACAACAGGGACGGCACAGGTTCGGAGAAGCGATCTTCTGGGAAGGGCTTCGGCTTCTTCTGCCTAAGTAAAACACGAAGTCCCTTGGCCATCTGCAAGTACAAAGATTCCGTGTAAGGCCGCGACGAAGCTGCCAAGGCTTCCCTCAAAGCAGCCTTCTTCTCATCCAACTGCCACCTCACTACATCGATCATCAAGTCATTTCAATCATCTTACAAGGCAACCAGCCCAAGTGAAAGCCATGACCACAGGCCCACGCTGCTCATCCCGCGCACCCGCGCCAACTGCAGCTTGCGTCCGACCATAAATGTCCTAAAGTTTGGAGTAGCACAAGATCATTCCGATTACCACCACAAGGAATGAAATGCTTGCAAAAGAAATCCAGTCATTCCAGTCCTCTGCTTTAGCTGAAGGAATGAAGCCAGTGTATCCTGGCACTCGGGAGTTCATGCCTCGGAGAGCAGATCATCAGCAGGCAAGAAAGTGGTAAGATGGCTTGGCACTATGAAGCTGTGAGCCGTGCACTGCTCGCCCACTGCTTGTCGGGCCCGCTGCAGCTTGTCCTTGGCATTAAGTCAGGCAAGGGAAACAGCAAAAATGGCCGCTGGCCGCAACCCAAGTGCAATGTCAACAGCTGCTTCGTGCAAGCCAAATATCACTGCAAGTAAAATCATCCATATCAACTGTGCAGAATACACCTTTGTCTAGAAGCACTTATTGTCCCACCTGCGGCGGATCCTCTGGCGACGGCTTGCAAGGTCGCCATCTTAGGTCCTTCGTCTTAGGACCGCATTAGACTTCTACTTTACCAGTGCAGAGCTTGAGGCGCTTCTTCCATCTGTCCTCTTTGGGCCGATCGCGTGGTGCACCCAGCGGAGTGATGCCTGTGGGACGCCAGGGCCTCGAGGAGGAATGAGAGATGGGAGAAGAAGCGTAGAGGAGAAAAGTTCTCAGTTTGGCAGCTTCGCTTCGGAGGGTAGCTTTACAAGGATAAGTCCTTGGCGCTAGCTCAAGGTGGTCATCCGGCATCGGGCGAAGCCTCGAGCAATTTCAACCAGTGTTGAGATCTCATACCATCTGGTACCAAGAGGGATGTGTTTTTGCGTAGCATACTAAATGAAGGATGTCTTAGCAAGGCAGGACAGGTACTAGAGCTTCCGACTGTACAGGGCTATGCGCTCCGCGTATTCAATGGTGTTGAGGATAGAACCACGCGGCGGCGCTGCGGGATGGAAAGGAAGTACCGATAGCTTGGGCCAGTCACGGACGAGCCGTCCACTGCAGCCTGTGTAGCTTCAGCTACTTCCCTCAATCCTGGTTTTCCAGTCCAGCATCTAAACTCCAACACCGAGACACTTTTTAGCTCGAAAGCAAGACGCATGGCTTTAGCGCTGTCAGCTTGCAGAGCCACTCGTGCCAGCTCTACGCCGTCGCCGCGCCAGGCTCTGTGCACCTTCATTTTTGTGGATAAAGGTGGAAATTGACAGCAATCACGCCAGAAAGTTTAGGACTTTTTGCTCCAAGGCATCTCTCCTGGGCAAGAAGTCGGTGGTGAAACCTTGGCCAGGATCAATCCCATGATGTTCGGCTTGCAATATCATCATGAGTAATCTTGCGAAAGAATTCCGGCGCATCATGTGTCTGTTGACAGACCCGCGACCCTGAGCAAGTTCCTACAGTGTCCACAAATACTGTTTCGTGCGCGCACACGACAAGTCAAGTGCTGACATCCTAACGCACCAGTCTAGACACACCAACATTCGCTTCAAGTGCTTGGAAATGTAAGCTGTTGTTCTGCTGACATCCGTGAAGAGAGTTACAGTACAGTGATGTGGGTATTCACAGTTACACCTCTGAAATGCCACTTTGAGCACGGCAGCGATGTAGCTGGCATGTGCGCTGCAAGTAAAAACGTTACAGTGCATGAGTCTTTGCTAATTGAAGTAGCCGTATTGCGGCCGCAGGATAAAATGTAGCCATCGTTGATGGCTTCAATGGCGTCTTGAACGACACTGCCTCCTGCTCGGCAAAGATTTTCCACGATGGCTGGTTGCCTTAGTGCACACATGAAGAAGCTTAGCCAGCTCTCAGAATCAAACCTGCAGAAAGCTGAATCAGAGCAGGTCACTCACGCGCAGCCCAGTCCTCTGAAGTGGCAACACCAGTTCTTCTTGCCGTCAGACCAGCCAAGTTTCCAATTGGCAAGGCCAGCATGGCAGTCGTACTTTGCATCTCCTGTCAGGTGCACCTGTACCCAGTGCCAGTGGCCTCCATCGTTTGACCACTGCCACATCATGCCATGCCCTGCTGCACCTGGAGGAATGCCACCTCCGCCAGCTCCTGCGCCGCCACCACCGGCTGAGTGCACGACATGCGTCGTCACGATCGTGTGGGTCTGGGTGTAGCCTCCTCCGCCTCCTCCGCCTGATCCGCCTTCGCAGCCCATGTGCTGGTGTGCGCAACACCAGACTTTCTTGGGAGCCGACCAGCCAACATGCCAGTTTGCAAGGCCAACATGGCAGTCGTATGGAAGGCTCATGGCCCCACCACCACCACTCACAGCAATCCACGTCCAGTAACCGCTCACCTGAACGTGCTTCCAGACCATGCCAAAGCCTGGGTCGACGGCTGGAGGATGCGCCCCTTCGCAGCCCTTGCCCTTGACAGAGCAGCACCAATGCTTCTTGGGCGGAGACCTGGGTCCGGTTGCAATCTCCAACAAAATGCGTCCCCTCTAACTTGCAGGCAGCAGCACATGTTCTGGGGCAGCGACCATGCCCTGAAGAAGTTGTTGAGGGCGGCATCGCAATCATAGGGCTCTGAGGTTGCCACATGAACTTCACAGCCGGCCTCTTGGATGGAACAAGCTCTGCAAATATCACATTCCACTTGCACCTGGCTGTAAGCCAGAGCGCAGGCATTGCCTCTCCCTTGGTACTGGTGATCCATTGCCCAGGTGATGCGGTCAATGCAAAGCGATGTCTTGTCCTTGTATGTGCAGGGTGCCTGGCAGCCTAAATGCGAAAGCGTAGTTGCAGGGCAGCCTCTCTGAAAGGTCTTGCAACACCATGCGCTTTTGTGGCTAGACCAGTCGTCTGGATGCCCGTGGAAGCAGTGGTAGTCAACGCACCCCCTGTGATCAGGATCATGGTGGCAGCACCTGAGACAACATGCTAACGAAAGGGCACGCACACAAAATGCCCTTGAATGCCCACAGCCTTGCGGAGTTCTTGCGGACGGGTCACCAAGACTTTTTGGAGTCGGACCACCCCTGCAACCAGTTAGAGTATCCAGCGTCACAGTCGTAGATTTTGCCAGTCGCATGCCCACCTTCAGTATGAACTGTGACAGTGGTATGGACATGCATGCTTCCATGCCAGGTGCCCGGGCATCCTCTGCTCTCATGGGCACAGCACCAGCCCTTCTTCGCTCTGGACCAACCATGAAACCAGTTGGAGAAGCCAGCGTGGCAATCGAAGTGGCGTTGGGCGTGCTGATGTGTCATGATGATCTTCTTGTGGTGCCTGATCACAACCTTCGGAGGAGATGGCACTGGCACGTCAATGTACTTAATCTTTGTGACTGTATGCGTGTGGTCCTCCTCATGGTCTGTGGGACAGGCGCGGCCTACCTTCCAGCAGCAGTACTCCCGATGCAGGGAGCCCCACAGGTGGTGGTAGTCGTGGAAGCCCGTCACACAGTCGTATTCCCTTGGATGGTCATAGACCGTGTGAGTCTTGTAAATGACTTTTGGCGGCTCCTGTACTGTCCTTGGGACATACTTTGGGACCGACACAGGAACTGGAACTACCTTCCTGTCGTACACAACCTTCGGCACCTTGACATGATGAGTCACGGGAACATACTTGTAGTGGATATGCGCCGGTGGCCTGGCTCCCTGCACGGGGTAAGGATCTTTCACAATCTTAGGAGGAAGCGGCGCAGAGGGCACCTTCACGTGCACTACCAGCGGCTTTGCGGTTGGTCCAGGCACTGGCACGTACGAGTATTTCGGCACCTTTACTCCCACCGTCTTTGTCACTGGCACATACTTGTCTTTGGTCACAACCTTGGTCGGGCATGCAACACCCTGCTGCCAACAGCACCAGCTCTGATGCTCCTGGGTCCAAGAGCGGTAGTTCATCTCCCCAGTGTAGCAGTCAAAGTGCTTGTGCGGTGCATACACTTTGTGATACACCACATGAGCTGGTCCTGGCACAGGATATCCAACCACCTTGTCCATGTTCTGAGTGATATAGTGGTGCTTGATGATTATGTCCTTTGGCACTTGCGGTGCTGCCATGGCCACAGGGACAGGAACATCTGCTCCCGGAGTGTCTCGGCGGAATCCAAAGATCATGAAGATCCCGAGCAGAAGCCTTGGGGACACGTCAATGTCAGCTGCATGAAACATGAAATTCGCCTCGGCCTCTGATTGAGAGACGTTTGGAACAAGAAGACCAGCATCCGGTCACTGAAAACTCGCTTAGATGCCCTTTCTCCCCTGATTCTTTTAAAAAGGGTTGTTGCTAGCATTGCCCTCCAACGAAAAATCTATGTTTCGTTGCGTTCATGTACAGACGGGTATTTGTATGATCTGCTGAGCCATATGGCTGGTCTTCTGTACACACGGAATACACAGACGGTGTCTCTGCAGGGCTAACTTGTGGCAAAACCCCAAACCTGAATCCTGATCCAAGCTCCCAATGCCTGAGCTCTGCTTGAAGGCAGGGGGGGTGCAGCAAATAAAAACACAGTTGAGGCTACTTCTCGATGGGGCAAGCCATCTCGCCACTAAGGGGATTTTAAGCAAGCCTATGACCTTTGTTATAGCTAAATACGTACTACACCTGCAAGTACGGGGTTGAATCACAAGAACTGCAGGCTTTAAGGGGCGAATATGCTGGCAATATTTGGGAATTCTGAGGGTGCACTCTGGTATGCCTGAGTAATCATACTCTCAGGTGATCTCTCCTTCAATTGTCTCTTAGGGCTTCTAGATATCGTGCTCTGCACAATTTCTTGTTCGATCATCTTGCTCTTACAGAACAGTTTACTCTTGCCAAAGGCTCCATGCAGGTAGATGTTTTAGGACCCTGAGCCTAGCCCATGACATTCTGGCAAGACAGACTCCGTACTTGTACTACAACTACTCGGAATTTCTTAGAATGAACCTAGCTGCATTGCAACATCTACTGCCCGTGATAAGGGGTCTCTGGCTTTACTGACGCCATGCCTTGGTTGTGGTACATACTGTAGCGCCTGGAAGTGGTGTGGACCTTCTGATTGTGGAATGGGTCTTCTGACTGTGGCAATCTCACCCCCCCTCTACCACCCCCCCTCTACCACCACTCCCTCCGCTATTCAACAGCCAACCGACCGGGCCACTCCTTTGCCAGCGCCACTGCCCAGTGCCCTCTCAAGTTGCGTCCTGACCCGTGAGCCTCCTTGCCTCCTTGCAAGCCCATGTGCCGAGGCGGACACACCCGAGAGCGTTACCATCAAGAAATTTGGAGAGCGTAGTATGCGTAGTGCAGCCAAGAGCACACAAGAATGAGGCAGAGCGCCACTCCACAAGCGGGCTTCCATTGGTAGCCTGCTTTCTCCACGACGTGCTCCTTGTTAATGCTCCCTTTGCCATTGCCCACAAACACGACGTCCTTGTAGAGTAGGGTATAGAAAGGCCGCTCTGGACTGCAAAGTGTAGCCATAACTATGTTGGAGGATAGATCCATTAGTTTCTTAGGGACAGCCCGGGAAGATCTAATCTGATCCATTGAAACCAACACTTTGGTTGCCTTGGAAATGAGATGCAGTCTATCAACATATGCCGTTGCATTCTTCCTCGCAAGTCTCATGCGCTCACTGTTACCTGTGCCGCCACCTACCAACGTTCCCTCAGCATTGTTGTTAGTCTAGCAGTCTAGCAGTTCACAGCCTCTTCGCGGCGAGCACAACTCCCTAGATGCACCTCTGAGAGCAGATTGGTTTGGCAGATCGCTCCACAAATTGTCCCGCTTCGCTTTAGCTAGATTACGGGTGGCACCAGAAGCCACAAAAGCATTGTGAACAACCTGCACGTGAACCTTTACCAGCTAGTAGCACGCGCTGCATCTACTGCGACAAGGGCCTACAATCATTTGAGGGGCGAGCCGAGGCCAACGAAAGCTAGCCAGGCTTTATGTACCATGGAGTAAGGTAGACGAGGCGGGGGTACATGCCAGCAAAAAGCACAAACCTCATTAAGGGCCTGGAAAACCTATCGCGGAACCTTGCCAACTTGACGCCAGCGTCCACTTCTCTTTGCACTCCAATTTCCTTTCAAGCCTTCTCCTCCCCCTTTCCCCATTCTCCCAGTCTTTGCTCCACGTTTCACTCCACTGTCCAATCCAACTCTGACTTTACTCTGGACTCCACCCTCACTCCAGAGACCACTCCAGTTTCCACTCCACTCTTGATTACTCTCTGCATCACTCACCACTGCACTCTGCAATGCACTCTCCACTCCACTCT